TGGTCACTTGCTGGGCTGCACTTTGAGGCCACCAACTGCTCCTTGGGAAGAAAGACAGGGCTTTCTACTCTTGTAAAGAGTTCCAGCCTCAGACACCACAGGGGCAGTGGCAGTTCTACCTTGTCCTGTAGGTTCCCTATGAGTCGTCATCGACTCGGTGGCAGTGAGTAAGGGACATGGCAGGGCAGGTTGGGGAGAAGTGGGCGCTAACATCCATAATTACAAGAAAGAAGGAAATGTTCTGAAATTGATTGTGGTGATGATTACACAACTCTTCTTACTATGATCGAGCTACTGAATTGTATATATGAATTGTATATAATAACCCCCCCTCCAAAGAAACAAAGAAATGCATGAGTTACAATGTCAGAACCCCCCAGGGGCAGTTCTCCTCGGTCCTATGGAGATGCTGAGTCGGGATGGGCTCCAGGGCAGGGAGTTTGGAGGTGGTTGCACCTCACTGTGATGCATGCAAACGGTGAACACCCGCGACTGCTCTCTGAAAGACTGGTGATTCTCATCCACTCAGTCTTTGCAATCTCCTTCCAGAACCCTGTGGAGCTCAGTTCGGCTCTGACACACATGGTGCCCTGTCTGTGAGCTGGAACGGACTCACTGGCACCTGAGGCCAGGCCTGGGAGGCCCCTGCAGGGCACTGCTCACAGTCCACTCACCATCCACACAGCCTGAGCTGCACACTGTCTCCCAGACCAAGGTAGCCTTCGTGCCCCAGAGTTTGACTTGGGCACGTTTGCCAGGTGTTATGAAAAGAGTAGTGGTAGACATGAACTCTGGGGCCCGGATTTCAAATCCTGCCTCTATTATTTACTGGAGGTTCTGTGGCACAAATATTATGCATCCGACTACTAATCTGGAAGGCTGGTGGTTCGAATCCACCTAGAAGTGCCTTGGAAGAAAGACCCTGGGGGAACTTTGCCTTTCAGGTCTCACATGCTTTCTGCTGTTGACAGGATGCAGCATGACCACTTTCCCATCACTGTCCATTAGTGGAAAACCGTTGACATGCTTCTCTGACCGGTTTGGGCCTCATCCAGGTTCTAGCTATCACAGGTTGTACTATAATTTCAGCCACTGAGTACCCTTGGGGTGCAGTTCTACTCTCACACACAAGGGGGCACCAGGAGTTGGAGTGGAAGCCATGGAGCTAGTTTGGTTTCGGTCTTCCTTTGGATGAGAATGAGCAGACCATCTAGCCATCGTTGATTTTTGCCTGCTCACCTCTGCTGTGCCTCGTCCCTTAAGTCAGGAGTTCCTGCTCTAGTTTCCAGTCAGATTCTGCTAACCTCACCCCTTCTAGCCAACTCTCAATGTCTAGCTGTGCCAACCTGATTACTTCTAATTGTCTTTGACTGCTTCCAGCTGGGTCTTCCCACTGGCGTTCTGTGGGGCCCACAGCCAGTCTCCCAGCCATCTGGAGAGAGGGGAAGGAAGGAAGGGAGCAGCTGGGACCACAGTCAACAGAGTGTGGTTCCTGGCTCTCCAGCTCACTGTGCGTTAAGGGGTTAACCCATCCTCCTTAGATCATGGCCTATCTTTGAACAAGACAAATGATGCTATTTGCTGACCCTAAAAGCAACCAACCATGTTAGTGTAAAACCCCTTAGAAAATGTTTAGCTATGTCTTCCTCCAAGATGGATAGGGTTATGTTGCTAGGTATAGTAGAAATGCACTTGAATTTCAGTAAACAATTTTGTCACCCATTTACTCAACAAATATTTATTGAACAATTATAAGCACTGTGCTAGACCGTGAAGGACAAAGCAAGACCAAAACTAGGCACCGCCCCTGTTCTTCATGAGTCTAAGAGAAGACATTCCCAATACATAGTACGGGCTGCAGGAAGAATGTGAAGCTCTCATTGCCAACTCGCAGCCAGCCATCGAGTCCGTTTTGACTTAAAGTGGCCCTTGATAGGGTTCCTGAAGGTCTAAATCTCTACGGGAGCAGATAGCCTCAAGAGCAGTTGGTGGTTTTGAACCACTGGCCTTGTGTTTGGCATCTCAATGCTTACCCAACAGCGCTACCGGGGCTCTCGAATTTAAAGTGAATGATATGTAATAAGAGAGAATTGGGAGGGGGTGGTTGGGGGAGGGACCAGCCTCTTGCAGCTCACTAATTGGGAAGAGTTATGGGAAATGGAACAACCCAATTGGGTGGAAATGGGTCAGTAACAGCAGATGGGAGCGGGGCGGGGGCAATTGCATAGACAAAGGGCCAAAGATGGATAAGCCCAATCCTATCCTGGATGAGGAGCAGCTAACAGGTAGTGCTCAGTGAGACCCTACAGAAGGAGGATGAGGTTAGACATTTAGTTTGGGCTAATTCATAGAAAATCTTCAGTGCTGGACTATTCTTATTTAACCAGATGTCTTTTATATATTTGAGCTAGACAGCCAGTGGCAGGTCAGTGATAGAATTCTCTTCTTCTAAGCCAGACACCTGGGTTTGATTCTAAGCCAATTCACCTGTGCAGCCACCACCATCAGATGTTTGCGTGTTGCGATCAATGACGCTGAATAGGTTTCAGTGGAGCTTCCAAACTAAGATGGGCTAGGAAGAAAGGTGTGGTGATGTACTTCTGAAAATCAGCCAGTGAAAATCCATGGATCATAATGATTCAATTCCCCACTGATGATGAGGATGGTGCAGGACCAGGCAGTGTTTCATTCTGCTGTGCATGGGGTCAGCGTGAGTTGATGGTAGACCAGAGTTTCGGCCATCTCAATGGAAGCTAACAACAACAGTATGAAGATAATACATTGCTTAGTGTACTGGTTTACCGTCCATGGCTTTTTTTTGGAAGATCATTTAAGAGAATACAGGCATCTAGTTCCAAAGCCAGTTAGCACAGGCAGACCCAAGATTTAGACTTCTCTTTGGCATCCATCCAAGCTGATAGAATTAGCAGTTAACTTGAATCAAACCCAGGCAGCAGGCTTGAGAACCATTTAATGGGCCTGGGCTTTCTCTGTTCTTCACCCCTTTCCTGACCTTCACCCAGAGAGGATAATTAAAAAGGCAAATCTCTATTTCACTGTAAATGTCTTCCACCATTTCTAAGGCTAGAGTGTTTTTTTTTTTAAGCCATAAAGATACTCTGATGAACAGCTTCTGAAAAATGTCCTACACCCTAATAAAGGGATCTTGAAATTTCCATAAAGAGCCAACGTTCTATAAATTTTCAAGGAGTAATACTCTATTATCTAACATAGGGGAAACCCCAAGCCTTTTCTGAAGAAAAATCATAACTGTTTTGACCCCAAAGTGAGTCCAAATTTTCCTCCTTCATTAGACATCTACTGAGCCATCTCACCTGCACCAGCCATGCACTGTTCTCCTCCCCCTCACACCCCTGATTGTTTCAAAAATAAACTCATTGTCCTTGAGTTAGTATCAACTCATAGTGACCTTATAGAACAGGGTAGAACTGCCCTTGTGGGTTTCCAAGACTGCAATTCTTTATGAGAATAGAAAGCCTCAATGTTCTCCTGTAGTCTGGATGGTAGTTTTGAACTGCTGGCCTTGCTTAGCAGCCCAACATGTAATCACTAGACCACCAGGGCTCCTCACTGGGTCTGGTTACTGTCCTGTTAAAATCAGAAGTATCAAATTAGAGTGACTGGGACAGGCCTTGCAGAAATCTGGGGGGTGGGGCAAAAGGCCTCTCAAGCACAATCAGAGAAACAAAATAGGAAGTGTATTTAACCTGGGAAAGTGGGGATAAGGAAGACAAGGCTAGCAAACACACGTTGTGTGTTCATGGCCACAAGAGGACTGGTGACTGGTTGTAACAGACTGCTTATGTTGTTGTGTGCTGTCTGGCTCCTGATGACTGGAGGAGAGAATAGATCTGCCCCACAGGGTTTCTAAGGTTGTCATCTGCATGCCCTGGGCTGCCACATCTTCCTCCCACCCAGCAGGTTAGGAAGCACCCCCCCTGCCCCCCCCACTCCCCTCGTCCCCCACCTGTTGGTTTGCAGCTGAGCACTTTAACCACAGCATCATCACAGCTCCTTGATTACAGAGCAACACATTCACAAGGAGACCTTTGTAAAGCAGGCATTTCCTTGGCCTCCTTTTTGGGTGGGTGGGAGAGTCTCTGAGACGCTGATTAATGACAGCTGTGGACTGCTTCCTGCCCCTCCCCCAGCTTAACGCATAGGGTGACTGCCCTGTACCTGTTCACAGCGGAGGAAACAATGGAAGCATCTGGAGGGGATGGAATCCTTCCTTTTAACTCGGGTGTTCAGATCAGAGGTTAGGCTCCTTTTGACTTCAGGGAGCCTCTCAGCTGGAGGCTCAACAGGTAGCATTTTGGAAATGCCGCCAGCCCGCTCCTTAGCCTCCCCTGAGCCAGGGTATTTTCCATGGCCTCATCTGCATGTGAAAGCTGAACCAGGAGCAAGACATTAGAATGGATGCATTTGAATGATTGTGTTGGCGAAGGATATGGAATATATCCCGAACTACCAGAAGAAGGGTCAAATCTGTCTTGGAAGAAGCACAGCCAGAATGCTCCTTAGTATTCTGCCAGGAAGGGGAGACACTCTCACATACTCTCAGGAGAGACCAGTCCCTGCGAAAGGACATCATGCTTGGTAGAGAGTCGGAGGAAAAGGCCCCCAGTGAGACGGATTGACATAGTGGCTGCAGCCATGAGCTCAAACAGACCGACTGTTGTGGGGATGGTCCCAGACCTGGCAGTCTTTCGTTCTTTACACAGCGTCGCCAAGAGTCCACCCAACAACAAAAACACTGGACCCCTCCCCCCCCCACCTCTTCACAAGATTCCTTATTTTAGATGTGGAAAGGGCGCTGGGGGTTCTGGAGAGGGTCGTCGTATCCAAGGCAGTCACAATTATTTATTGGGGATGAGCACGGCCACAGCACGCACGGAACAAAAGCCCCCAGGAGCTGCGCGCGCGAGCCCATCGATCTCATCCTGCAATCACGGCCGTCAGTTGAATGGAAACCAAAGATGTCAACGTACAAGCAGAGGCAGCAAACGGCCGGCTTCCTACGTTGCCGCTACTATTACTGTTGCTGCTGCTGCTGCTGCTGCTACTCCACCCGACCAATCCGATCTACGTGAGAGCCCGGGCAGACGCCCTGCCACCTCCCCACACCCCACCCAGCCACCCATCATCGCGGTCCAGAAGCCCCTACTGTGTGCCAGGCCCTCGCCTGTGCACCAAAGCAGCCGGCCCACAGTCCACGGAGTGTCGGGCCCGCCTTCTTCTCTCTCCAGCCCAGAGTGGGTGCGGCTGGCACAGGACTTCACTGCCGAAAGGTCCAGACCGTCCAAGCCCTGAATTCAGCAAACCCCCGCGGCCCGCCCCGGCGGGTTGGGAGCGCGTGTCCCCGAGGCGGCGCGGGCTCCCCGGGCCCTGCCCCTCCCACGAGGGTCGCGTTTGGCTGTGGCGCGCGGGGAAGGAGGGGCTAGGAGGGATTTGAAAGTGCACGGGCTGCGGAGTGGAGCTCGCATCGCTTCCCGCCGCCCGCCAGCAGATTGAATTTCTGCACCTTCGAACTGAATGGGGCTTTCGGCGGCTGCCTTCCCGAGGGCGCCTG